AATTATATGGTAAATATTTTATTTCAATAAATAATTCTCGATATGTAAAAAATAAAACAAAACTATTTTAATTTTATCAATTGGATAAAGTAAAACAATCAAACTGTGAGGTATATAAAGTGAAAAAATAAATATATATTTTACTGAAATTGTATTCAATTTGATTCCTTAATAATTTTATATTTTATTAATAAGTATTAATGCTAATAAATATCTTTAAAGAGGAAAATACTTGCCATAACTGTTAGTTTATTAGTACATTATTCTTTTATAAAATAAAACAAAGCAATTGAAATTTTCACCATTAACATTTTTAGAGACATTTTCTTGAAATTAAAAAGGCAAAATTCCACATAAGCAAACAAAATAATGAAAATTTTAAAATAGAATTGGACGATTATTTTTTAGCATATTTTTAATATAAAATTTTATCGTACTCTGCATCGTTTGGAGTTCATTTATCTCTGTCAATTCTATGCAGCCATACTTTCCACCGTTCTTTATTGCGATCTTCAACACGTAAGCGATATAACTTAAAGCCTAATTTTGACTTTTAAGAACACTCAAATGAGCAACTACCTGCTTTTTTTTCCAAACCACAATTTAAAAGTACGTAACAAATAAAGTAGAAAGAAAAGTAAAAATAGAAATAACAGATGGTACTATGATACTTCACCCTTCAAACTTGTCAACAAAATGGCGACAGCTAATCAAAATCGAAAATGGTACAAAGGACGCAAGGAAAAGAGTGACGCTACATAAACTAGGCAATCTAGGGCTTCAGTTTAATGGACCAGGTCACATTCCCCTTCGAGCGAAACAGATCACACCAGGGCATTCCCCATTTAAACGAAAGTAATCAGCATTTGCGCAAAATGGAGGTAAAAACCATGAAAAGCTCTCATGATTAATGGAGCTCTGACCTGTTTTTAGCGAAGCATTAGCAATCTCTGCTGGCTAAATAAAATTTAACCATCTCTGTGATTCGTTCATAAGTAGACTTAATCTGTCTCCGCTGAGCTATGCCGATTTTTATGAAAAAATTGCATTTAGTTTTGTAAGAACGTGCGTAACATTTCGGATTTAGCATTTTAAGTGTGCACACACATTTTAAAAATTGCTGATAAGCCACTTGTTATTTTCAATTTAAAAATAATAATCCAAAAAATGAACATTTTTTGGTAATTCTTATTATTGATACGAGGTTTGTAATACACGAGGGTTGTAAATTATACGAGGGTTGTAAATTAAATAGTGGCAACTTTACCTTTAAACTCACAGAAGGACGGGCATGCGCAAATTAGATATGGGAGCTGTGAGGTGGGGCTGTTGTCGATGTGTAGAGTGCAAAAAAAAGTCGATTCGCTTAGAAGGGTAGTTGTTGCGTGGCGTTAAAGTGAGGAGTTTCGTTTCCATCGCTCTAAAGCATGTTTTCAAAAGGTGATCAGCGGTCGTGGCTTACAATCGAGGTTGCCCGTGGCAAAAATGCAACAGAATGCTATCGAGGATTAATGGAAGCCTTTGGAGCAAATGCTTTACCATATAGGACAGTAGCACGATGGATTCAAGCATCTCGTCTTTTTTCGTCATTAAGCCTTTTCACAACATGCTTTAGAGCGATGGAAACGAAACTCCTCACTTTAACGTCACGCAACAACTACCCTTCTAAGCAAATCGACTTTTTTTTGCACTCTACACATCGACAACAGCCCCACCTCACAGCTCCCATATCTAATTTGCGCATGCCCGTCCTTCTGTGAGTTTAAAGGTTAAGTTGCCACTATTTAATTTACAACCCTCGTATATACTAATAAAAAGGTACCACAATATATAATGAGGAAATAGGTTTTGTGTAAGGCCTACCGAATCGAATAAGTACCGGGGATAATTGCTGATCATGAGAATTTTTGACTGCTAGGAGTTAGCCATGGCCTAAAACCTGTTTGTTTGTTCAAGGGTACAGAGATGAATTAGATTGCTATGATTAGAAACACCATCAACTTCCTTTTAGCAAATCAAACAAGTCTTTAATACCACCTTCTGTATAGTGAATCTTTAGATTTTGAAACTGCTTTAGTTTTTCCCTCGGTTAAACATGATATGTGCATGCCAATATGACTACTTAGTTTATTTCATTTTTAACAAGAATTATTGCATCTTGCATAACTATTAAAACATATGCATACATAGCCTGAGTAAGTATTTTTCAATATAGTTTTCAGGTTAAAGTATATATATTTCAATGGTAATAAAACCTGTCCCAGTAAAAATAAAGCAATTGGAATTTTTTTAAATAATGAAATTTTCTATAAATGAAACTGTTAAAATAATAGTTTATACCATGAACTAAATGATACAAACTATTAAATAACATTAAAAATTTAATAATTAAAAGAATTATTAAATAATTAAAAGTTAATACTTTTTCAACCAGACCTTCATAAATGCTTCAAAAGTATTATTGTTGACAACTGTCAAATCGCAAACTATAGGTTCATACACTTTTTTTCCTTTTTTTAAACAGATCAACTCAATAGCCCATTCACATATATATTCACTTACTGGTACATGCTGATTTACTTTTCTTTCCTTTATTCACTCGCTGTATCAATAATCATTCACTGTAATAGTTCCCATAGGAACATGAAGCTATAATAATATGCTTTTAATTTTTAAGTATACAATCTCAAGGATGTGTTAAAAATATTTTAAAATAGGAACAATTGGGTACTTGCACTCCAAGAAGAAGACAACCCATACCCATACATGTTAACTATAACATCAGCAAAATCATCAGCTTTATCAGCAAAATTGGGTATTAAAGTTGAACTAAGTTTCTATACATAAGTTAGAATGTTAATTAACGTTAAGTCAATTAAATACAGACGTCTCGCACATCGAATTTGTTGAAATCTAATTCTTCCTCGTCTACTTCTTTTACTTAACTTAGATTTATTATTTGTTTATGTATTTTACTGTAACCGTGATATACTTTTGTTTTGTGTACCTGGCAACTTCGATGCATATTTAGTTTGTTTATGTTCTACATCACTTCGTGCCTGTCTTTGTGTTAAGTATTTGAGTAAATATATAGTGAGAGAATTGGAACTTACTCAAAATAGAATGGAAAGAACTGCTGCTAACATAAACAAATACAACGTTTCAACACCCAATCAGGATCAAGATACCTACATTACGTCACTTGCAGGTGTCCCATTGACTTCCTATAAAATATTTGGAAAAAAAAACTTTTCATAGTAAAATTAAGAGAAATATCATAACAGTGCAAAAATATTTCAAAATTGCGAGCTATGTTTTTTGGTGGGATGAAAAATAGGTGTTGCAGTACAACAATTTACAATGGAGTCGCATCAAATAGTCACCGACACAACTCGTCGTGGCGACAATACGTTGAGGGCACAATTTCTTGCTGCTTTGATGAAATACATCTTTTTACGAAAACAGGTGGCGTAACTACCAATATACTTATTAAATACCAATTCACTAGTACATAAAACATGCCAACTTAATTATATTTTGAGGTACCTTTTGATAGATGAAGGTTGACATAAGTCTACAACCATATTCCTCATTAATGACCTGTGGTCGTGATGTGAACTTGCCAACATCGAAAGATGGTACACACTAAACAGTTGATTTGCTCAAAATGTAAAGCTCAAAAAGAAGCAAACTTTCAATAAACAAACGTCAATAAACAAACTTGAAGAAAAAATACAAAGAGCAAAATGATATAAATAATAAAGATAATTACATAAGTAAATAAAAAAAGCAGCATAAATCAACTGGTGGTGTTAGTTCATCTAATTCTATCACAGATAAAACAGTTGGCACAAGAAAAGGAGGCAGACCGAATATGAGATGGATAGAAGACCCTTTGGTCTTAAAAACTAAAAACTGGAAAACACTAACAGGAAAAGGGTAAGCCTGGAAAAAACCACCTGAGAAGGCCAATGCCCACCCTGGGCTGTCAAGCCATTGATGATGATCACAGATAAAATTCTGGAAGGGGAGTAATGTGGCATAACTACCACTATAAATATTATATACCAATTCACTAGTATATAAAACATGTTAACTTGATTCTAACTTCACGTACTCTTTGATAGATGAAGGTTGACATAGTTGATAATTATATTCCTCAAAAACAGCTTTTGCGGTGTCTACAAAATCTAACTAAGTATTTAATTTGTGGCTGTTTAAATATTACGAAAACACGTAAGGAGGGAAGGGTTTGTGATTTGTTACTTAAAAAGGTATGAAGAATGCTTGCATGAGACATTAAAATCTCCTTATTTTCAATGGGGTTTCTTTTCCAAATGAAAATGATTGTTGTGGCTTGCCTTTAGCACCCGGCACAGTAATTTCGTGAAAAATATATACATTGGTTGTAAAATATTTCTTCAATTAACATCTATTTTAAATACAGCAAAGTACAATTTTAAATGAAGAAAAGTATGACAAAGTATGAGTTCGTTGTAACATATTTGTCACAAAAATTCTAAAATACTATAAACCGCCATTGCTGTTAAAAATATTCTAGATTGTTCAAAATTTAATTTAATGAGCTTAAAAAATCCCTAAAACATATTTTTAGAATTTTTTTTCTTTCTTTTGAAGTTGATACAATTCTTGAAAGGAAATGTGTTAATTCAAGAATTAAATATAAGCATAAAAGGTTCAAAATGGAAGTGAAGCAAATTTTTACACTGACAGTTTAAACTAGCTTGAAAAATTATGAGTTATCATTCAAATGATAAAATGCAACCAGATTCCTCTTTATTTAAATTATAAAATGATTGAAACACTTCTTCTAAATTATTCATTACCTAGAAACAGAAATATTAAGAGAAAAAAAAACAGTGTTAAAGAAACAGAGAGAGAGAAGTAGTTGCGAATAAATATTTAATTTTCTGGTTAACAAAAAAAAGCTAAATTACAAAAGAAAATCTTCTCATTTAAATATTTTTTTCCTCATTTCATATCTATTTACTTTATTTTCTGAGATCAACAACAGTTAGCGTAGTCTGATCCTCCAGTTTGACGTGTGCACATTCCTGGAAAAGAATTTTTATAAAGATTAGAGAATTTATTTAAATAGAAAAGTAAATTGAAATAGCCTAAGTCAATGATGGATCAACATAATCTTGATGGTTACCATCAATAATTCCATCATGAAACATTATATTTTTTACGGTAACTATCATCCCAATGTAGGAATTCAGCCTGATTTACGATAGTTCAACATAATAGGAACTTGTTTTTGTGCTTTGTTCATTTCGAACCATCAGAAATTTCCATCATAGTTTCTTAGAAATCAAATGTTGGAACGATCATGAACCACCATCAGCCCGATGTAGGAATTTGGTCTAATTTATGATGGTTCAACATAAAGAAACCAAATTGTTTTGATGGTATATTCCTGCTGAACCAACAAGAATTTCCATTAAACCATCATAGAAATTTATTATTGTACCATTATGAACCATCACTAATTTCTATAATATATTAGAAATGAAATATTGGGACGATCATGAACAACCATCATCCCAATGTAGGAATTCGGACTGATTTATGATGGTCCAATATAAAAAAAAACAAATTGTTTTGATCGTATATTCTGAGAACCAACAAGAATTACTATTAAACAACTGTGGAAATGTATAGTGGGAACCATCATGGAAAATCACAGATCATCATGGATCATGAGAATCAAACTTCTCTTGACCGTTAACCATCATAGTATTAAAGAAGCAATTTCCATCATAGAATGATGGAAGTTTGTTGGCATATCAAACACCATGAACGCAGATTGGAAAACGTTGGACCATCAGAAAATCACACTGAAATCAACATAAACCATTAAAAATTTTTGATGGGACCCTCAAGCATTTTGACTCCGGAGAAAAAAAAGAAACATGAATTCAATACAGGATGTCATCAAGGGATTACCGTGCACGCACTCACGTTTTTTCTGCTACATATTCTAACTTAATTTTAGCAGGTTATATTATTTAATTCAGTTAAATTTGTAACAGTAGAATTTCTGCTACATATTCAAACTGAATTTTAGCAGGTTATATTATTTAATTCAGTTAAATTTGCAACAGTAGAATTTCTGCTACATATTTAACTGAATTTTAGCAGGTTATATTATTTAATTCAGTTAAATTTGTAACAGTAGAACTTCTGCTACATATTCAAACTGAATTTTAGCAGGTTATTTAATTCAGTTAAATTTGTAACAGTAGAACTTCTGCTAAATATTTAACTGAATTTTATTCACACTGAATTGTTTTTCATTTAAAATCTGATTCTTCCTGAAGTATGGGAAGGTAGCAAAAATGAAAAAAAATTTAAATAAACGTAAATAATGAAAAAACATCCAATATTTTAACATAAAGGTGTTCTGTGACATTCATTCATAAATGATTTTGGTAAAATGGTGAGAGTTAGTGACAAGGAGTTTGTGATAAAGAATAGTGCGACATCTCCCATTTCAGTTAAAATAAAAATATATTTGAAATTAATTGATTAAATATTTTTATATTACTTGCTTTATGTCTTTTTCATCAAAATAATCACATATACATCAACTCATTAATATTGTTCTGCATATAATTACGGTCACCAACAACGACCAATAAATTTTGTGTGGCAACTATGTTTTTAGCTTCTTAATTACAACTTTCAGTATGAGAATTGAGTACACCATTCTTGCCCTCAAGTTTCACAACCATTTGGGGGAAAAATCTTGTTTTTCCCTTAACTTCAATTTCCACTGTCGCATATTCCTCAAATTTCTGATTCCGCATTTTGCGATTCATAAGTTGTAATAGTTTCATTTTATAAATATCGGTATTTCTAAAATTACTTATAAATCTATGGGTATAACTACCAAAACATTTATTAAAGAAGAAAGAAAAGAAAAACGTGAATTTACGTCCAAATCTGTGAAAATCAAACAAGTGCAACAAAATTTATTATTCAAATTCGCAAATCGAAATTGCTAGCCTAACATCCAATGAAATGTACCAGGATTTCAAAAAACACCATGTAGAAATCTATAATAGTAATTGCTGAAAAACCATAGGGATTTATGATTAAATCATTGCAATAATTGTTCAGTGAAATCATTTGTTTTTAAAATTAGTCACTTAAAAATTGTTTACAAAACACAAAAATTGAATACAATTTAGCAATTAGTTGGTCACCGCATGCAGGTGGTACAGTTATATAATACAGCACAACATATATATAAATCAGGGGTCTGTCCAGACATTTTGTGAAAGGTCCGTTTTTCGTGAAATTGTGAAAAAATTACTCACATTCTTTCAACCAGGGTCCGCTTTTATGAATTTGTGCAAATAGGGTCCGTTATTGCAAAAAAAAACTTTTTCAAGGAGTTTTTAAATTGTAAAGACATACAAGATTATGCTCAACACTGTAAAATTATAATTAAAAAAATTAAATTTTAAAAAATAAACAACAATTGCTGCTTCTAAATTAGAGATGCAACATACAAATATTTGGTATTTAGCCTATACTGCTGAACGCAGAATATTCATTTCGGACGAATAATGGAAGAATCGTCTGCCGAAGACAAAACTTAATTCGTTTACATCCATTTTTCTTGCTTTCTGCCCTGGAAAGGGTTTATTTGATTAACAAAATAATAATGAAGATAAACAAATTTGTGAAGGGTCCGATTAAAAGAAAAATAATTTCGTGAAGGGGTCCGTTTTTAAGTTAAAATGTTTTGTGAAGGGTCCGTGTTTATGAAAAGATATTTTGTGAAGGGTCCGTTTTTATGAAAAGATATTTTGTGAAGGGTCCGTTAACGGACCCAAATTTCTTCTAAACAGACCCCTCTATATATATAAAATATAAACATGACATGTGACATGGAGCAAATGGTGAAGTATGACACATTGAGACAAAGGAGAGGAGGGGGCTCAAAAATAATGGAATAAAATGTGACATCATTTATTATATATTTTTAAAATCTTCTTTAAAAATGAAGAGAAAAATGTATGCACATTAGGGAATGCGAGTATATATTAAAAGCCAGAAAAAAAAATAGAAGACTAAGAAAGGTTTAACATCAAAGCATGTTGAATTGCTGCAGGCAACAGAAACGAGTTGAAAGGCGGTCGTTTAAAAAACGGCCAAGGTTCAGCAGCCAAAGAAACTGGTTTTAATATTAATTATTCTGGATTCTCTCCAAGTGGTTCGATAGAATTTGATGAAACAGGAAAACCTCTAAAAAACTGTGCCTTGAGTGTCTGCATTTATGTCACCGGTTATTAAGAGGTCGCCACTATTCCAAATTATAAACAAATTGGTTGTTAAAAAAATCACAAATAGTAGAAAACAATAAAAAGTCATATGGTAATTCTCACACGCTTATTCATTTTTTACTATCTCCAATAATTTATATTTTATCCTTCAATGTCAGGTGACTTTTATTTGTGATTATCACTCATATTTTGATTATTCATTTACTATAAAATTTTTCTTCTAGTTTCTAAGGAAGAAAAGGATGAATTCAGGGTATCTGCTACATTTTAGATTTTCAAATCCATGACTTTTCATGACTAATTCCAAGAATTTATCATGACATAACGAAGTTACTATTTTCTCCGACAAAAACACAACAATAAGTTTAAAAAAGCATTATAATAACATTAATTAAAATGATAGGTATAACTAAAACTGCATCTTCATATTTAGAGATTTTAAATGTATAAAACAGATTAAAGAAAGAGTTGAAGCAATAAAATAGCTGGAAAAAATACAAAAGCAAATAATTTTCTTTCTTTTTTTTCTGCAGAATTATATTCTAAAGATACTTTTCTTGTTTAAAGGAAAAGGAAAAAATACTCCTGCCTTTTCTGCTCTCTTCGGAATAAAAAAAATTCGCCAATGACTGGCTTGCTTCAGCTAGAATTTTAAATTAATAAAAGAGAAATAATTAATAGTAATAAAATTCTGAAATCACAGAAGTGCAATAGATAATTCGCTTTAGAAATGGTGCTCTTTCCTTTCATTTTTTGAAAGAACACCATAATTTTTAAGGAACTTGATAAAAACATTTTATATTTTAATCAAATATGACTGTGAGTGAGGATTTCGTTAAAAATTCAGATATTCGGAACACCATGAAATTGGGGGGGGGGGTAAATTCCATTTTAAAACTAAGATTTTTCAGCTACCTAAATCCATGATTTTCTTTTAAAAAATAGTTAAAAATCATGACATTTCAAGACAAATTTTGTTCAATACCGAAATTATTGACTTCCCATGATTTTTCATGACTTTCCAGGTGCGCAGATACCCTGCATTTACTAAAGATTTTTTTTCTTCCAGTGTCTAAGGAAGAAAAAGATGAAATCGCTCAACAAATATTGGTTGGGTGAATACACACATTGCTTCTTTCGCACAAATGGTAGCAAATTCTATAAACTGCTTCAATTAAATGTCATACATAGTGTATGTGAGAACAACACATATGAAAGCTTATCTGTAGGAATTGAACTATCAAAACCATGACACTATGAATGTTTAAAAATTTCAATAGAACAAGATTGCTGCAGGTGCAATTGAACTGTCAAATCTCTGATTGTAGTTAACAATGACTTTGAAGTGATGAGATAAAATAATATTGATTAGTTAAAAATAATTGCAAGCAAGAGAGGAAAAAGTTGACTAGCAACAAAAGGCTGTTCGGAGGTTCTTTCTAATGTAAAACCTATAGAAGACGAAACATATAATCCTCAGCTGCCAACATGGATCTGAAAAAACCCAGTAGATTTTACGGAATAATATACATTTTATGATAATTGTTGCATAATGTACTTAATATTTACACGTAGGGAATTTTAGGGATTTTTATAGTCATCAAAATAGAAAAACTGCAATATTTTTCAGTTATGATTGACATTAAACATACTTGATGTGCTAAGTTTACTCATAATTTCGAATATTAAGAGGCATTTAATTGATCAAAGATTGTTAAAAGATTTTTTCTAATTAATTTAAAAAGAGATTTCTGAATAAACTAAACATTTCAAAACAAAAAAAAGTTTTGAACTGATTTCTGACTTAATTAAATATTCAAGCAAGCAAACAATAATCTGCAAAAAAATTCTATTTTAAAAGGGATTTATTTTAGGGAATTTTCTAAAATTTACAAAAACCAGAAAAACTTTAATTAAACCAGTAGACCAGGAGAAACTGGCAAAATTCAGTACTCTACTGAAAAATCCAGTAGAGTTGGCAGCTATGGTTACTGCTTTTTAGAGGTGATCGTTAAAGGAGGTTTTAATGTACTTCTGTCCTTTAAATATTAATTTTCCACCCATGCTTAGATTTTTTTTTCACTTAATTTTCTTACAAATAATCTAAGAATATATCAATAACCTGATAATCTAAACAAAACTGTACATTAAAATTAAAAGGTGAAATAATTTAAAGATAGCTTTTATTTAACAATTAAATTAGAGAAGAAAAAAAACTTAGAATTGTTGATGAGGGGAACATAATGCGAGGGGAACACTTCTTTACATAATGCGAGCAAGATGTAGTAATTAAAAGCAAGAGTTCCACGTGGGAATTCAAAATTAAAAACAGGTTATTAAACTTGATCCTAGAAGTAGTTGTATAATTTGAAAAAATAGAAATAGCATACAGTAAAAAGACTCACTTCATAAATTGCAGATTCATTTGGATGAGGATGAAAACCTTTCTGCCTGCACTGAGTAATATAATCAAGACCATAACTTTGTGTTAAGGAAAATATGCAAGTACTGAAAGAGAAACAGGCAGATTAAAAAAAAGATTTTTCATTAAAATGATTGATTTAGCAGAAATTGTTTCATTATTGAATTAAGAAATCAACTTCCAGAAAGTTAAGACCATTTAAATTTTTTATTTTTGCTTATTCTCTACGGAATACCCCTATTTTGTACGGGGTGGGGGGGGAAAACAAATCAATAAATCAATACTGAACAACACTACAAAATCGTGCACATAACTGAAAGACATATTCCAGCACAATTAATAAAGCTAAAATAATTCTATAAATTAAATTTATAATTAAATTTAGTTCATCTCGGTGGCTTTGTGTAATTAGATTAGATGTTCTTAGTAGTTCATCCCTTCAAAATAAAGATCACCTGCATTTAGAATCATTAGGGATGATGCGGTTGCTTGAGCAGGGTTAAAGAGAAGAGAGAAGGGCTAGTTCAATCCGCTCTCAGGCCTGAAGCTACAATTTCCCTCCTCATGACGTCACTGTGTACACAGATCTCGGAAATCGCTAGCAAAGATATTATGATAACTTTGCACCATTCTCTCGGTAAAAACAAGTTAGACTTTTTCTGGTTATTAGCTTTCAAACTTTACATAATTAACACATTATTTCCGTTCATAAACATTCAAAAAAAATTTCTTGGCCATAATATTAAAATAAATACCATTTTAAACTTATAAAAATATTTTACTAGTTGTAGTAAATGAAGCTATAAATACTTTATTTTAAAATTTTCAGTTTAACTTTTACTGTTACAAAGAAACAAAGCACGTATCAATACTTTTTTTGCTACATATTGTTCAATAGCTATAATTTGTAAAGTTTTGTTAAATTTATAATCCTGGTTTTAAAATAAGCTGTTAATGGTAATTTGTTTATACTTAATTGTTAGGAAACTACAACCTTAAACGTTAATTACTGAAATAAAATAATAATTTGTTTTCATAATAACATTTGAAATTTTACAATCGCTTATAGATGTTTAAATTTTGGAGAATATAATTTTAAAAAAATCATAAATATGTAGAATAACTACATTCGAAACTTATTTAAATGTTATGAAATTAGAAGAATTTTAACTATTAATAATTTATACTTTTCATTTAAGTTTTTATTTTCTTTGACTTTATCCATTTTTTTTATTTTTTTCGCCTGCCTTTCTTTTTGAAGTAACGGATCGGTTTCTGTTTAGATGGCGAATTCTTATAAAAGTTCTTAGACAACAAAATAAGTGTATTGCTGCTTTATTTACTGCAGGATGTCTTCCCTCTAATTCATTTATAAGTTCTTTGATGATACCTTTTGATTTTCTGTAAAATGTCCCATGCACACTTTGAAAAATATTCTCAAATTCCTGACACACTTCCATCTATTCTGCTGATAGAACAAATAATCCTCCCTTAGTTAACAGATTTATCCATTCCGTGTTGCTCCCCTGTAGTTGGATGTACTGAGAAGATGGTATTTCTAATTTCAAATCAATATTTTTAAGGCGAAATGCTATGTATCCGGCAATATAATTTAGACCTTTTTCTTGTGAATTAATCATTTTGTTTCCCAAATTAAGGTCAACATCCCAAGACATAGGAACGGAAGTCAAGTCATGCATTATATCTTCAATGTTGTCTAGAATATTATTATTTTCAGAAACTATTTTCTGCAAGTTGCAATCACACAAACTAGCATTTCATTAATAATTTTAAATGTTTACAATTAACTTTAAAAAAACTGAGGAAAATCATTATAGAAAACAACGAATGTCTAGGAATCTGTCACAAAAAGGAATGCTCCAATTTTAGTTAACAGTCAGTTAGACCGAACGCTCGGTTCTTGAAGTAAAAGTTCAAGCTTCGCGCCAACGTGACGCCACAGAGGAAAATCGGAGGTTTGTCGCGGTGAGAGTTTCTTTAAAGGAGTGAACCAGCCCTGCTATTCTCTAGCCCTGTTGCTCGAGGCCATTTTATGATAGTCAAAATTTACCACAATCATATGATTTTCACTGGTACATATTCCTTTAGAGGAATTGTAAGAAAAACCCTTTTCAAGGTATAAATATTAAAAATTTCCTACCCTGATGCTATTTTAATAGGTATCAAATATACTAGCATGATGCATTATACCTATGTCTGTAAATTTGGTGCCTATTAAAACTCCATCAATTACTATCCTACCACTATAATGCTAGTTACTTGTGTTCACACTAGTATGGCGACAATTATTACCAAATGTCATTAAAATTATATGCACGAACGACAAATTTGTCACCTTAAAATACATTTGGAATTTACAAATCAGTAACAAAAAATAGTTTCTTGCATAAAATTCCACGCATTTAAAAAAAAATTGTTACACTGATTTTATTGTTCTACGCATTGCATGGAATTTAAATGTGTGGTATTCAAATAGAATAACTGAAAGTCTAGTACAAAAATTTTTTAAATTTAAATCTTGAAGTTTCAAATTTTAGTAAATATTAAACTTCCAATCATTATGGGATAATAAACCTACTCTTCATGTTTTAACTTCTCTCCTCTAATAAAGTTTACACATGTTTTTAACCTGATAGTTTCACTAAAAGAATTTTGGACACATCATTAAATACATTTTTTTAAAAAATCACATGAAACAACTAGATGGTAGAAAAGAATATTTTTAAGCTTCACTAATATTATTTTCTGCAATCTAAGTTACAATAAAAAACAATTTAATCATTTCAAGAAGAAGTACAAGAAGTGGTATAGTAAAATAAGCAATGGTGTATCAGATAAAAATCATATAAATGTTACAAATGTAAATGTACCCTATTCAGGATCATAAAGTATATAAGTGTATTCTTGTATTAGGAGATTGTATGGAATTTAAATGTGTGGTATTCAAATAGAATAAATAGTCTTACCTATCATACTTGGGTGCACATACAATTGCTATAGCTTCTGGCATCATAAGTTGATAGGAACAATGTGTATGCAAATCTACACTGGACATGAAAGCAGTCTGACTAGGATGCGTCTGCAATAATATGATGATATAAAGTACATATGTATGTAGGATAACCATTAACTATGACAATGAAAAAACCTGATATATTATTCTTCAATATTTAAAAACAGCAGCCAAACGAGTCACATAAACTCATTTTTAAACCACACTTTTACATTTCTTAACTAACTCTTTCTTCCTTCACATCAAATATAGTTCTAACAGTTTAATTACGGAGAGAGCAACATCTATAGGCCTTTGTTGGTTTTCTTACACACAGATTGTTTCGTTTGTCATATATATACGTAGTAGGAAGAAAAACAACAACTTTTTCTACAACATAATTACTTTAAATTAAATTATTAAACTAATTTTATTTATTTCACTTCTATATATACATATACATATATATACATATA